TTTTTTTATAATTCAGAAGCAGTAAAGGACCAGTAGACTAAGAATCTGAACAAAAAAATAGCAGTTGAGAGTCTGGGAAGTCAGATAGGACTTTTGAAAGTCTTATAGAGTTGAGAAAATAAAACCTGGAGTTTAGGACTAACTAAAGAGTAGGAACCCTGGTAAACACCTGAGATTTCCAATTAGGAACATAGGAGAGTTATACCCTGGGGTAAGCCAGAAATAGATGACTTCTCAGAAAACACTGAAGTGCAGTTACAAAGCAGCTAAATCCTCGACTGGATAAAGGTGATTTATCCCTATTCTGATTTCCCGAAGTCAAAAGCAAATTGCCTCTGGAAGAAGCTTGTATCATTCAAAGCCTTAAATTATGTCTATGAATTACATCTACAAAAACACAAAGTCTGTCATTCAATAAAAAATTATTAAGCATAATAAAAAAACAAAAAAAATTTAAGCATCCTAGGAGACAAGGCCAAACTACTGAAAATAAACAAATAAAAGACAATAGAAATAGCTCATTAGGGGATCCAGATGTTAGAGTTATCAGACAAAGACACCAAAAAGTACTGTAATTAATATGTTTAAAAACACACTCAAGAAGGTAAAGAATGTTACCAAATAACTGAAATGTTTGTGAAAAGATGAGTGTGTGTGTGTGTGAATGGTTAAAAATAATCATTTAAAAATAAAAAATATTAGTAAAGTAGTATAAGGTTTATAACAACATATACAGAAATAAAACAGAACAACAAGAGTGAAAAGGATAGAAGAGATGTCTTAGTAAATTGGTGCTGCTATAACAAAATACCTGAGACTGGGTAATTTATAACGAGCAGAAATGTATTAATTTATCTTCTCACAGTTCTAGCGACTGGGAAGTCCAAAATCAAGGTGCTGGCAGGTTCAATTGTCTATCAAGGACTACTCTTGCTTCCAGGCTGTGCCTTGATGCTGCATTTTCCGGATGAGAAGAGTGCTGCATCTTCACATGGTGGAAGGCACAAGGGGAAGTGAGACACAAATGTTACAGGAAGCCCCTTTCATAAAGGCTTTAATCTCACTGATGAGGGTGGAACCCTTATGGCCTAAATCATCTCTTACAGGTCCCACCTCTTGATACTGTCACAATCAGTCATCACGTTGCAACACCTACATTTTGGAGGGGACACATTCGAAACACAGCAAGGGATAAACGGAATATATTGCTGGAAGGATCTTACATTGTTTGTGAAGTAATATGGTATTTGGATATAGGCTGTGCATATCATAATTTTAGGGTAATCACTAAAACTAACAAAAAGAAACACAGCTAAAAACAATCAATAGAGAACATAAAATGGAATACTAAATAAATATGCAGCTAACCCCAAAGAAGGCCAGAAAGGAAGAATGTAAAAATATTTTTAAAATATGAGACAAATAGATGGCAAATACCTAGATGTAAATAAAGCATATTAATAGTTACATTAAATGTAAGTGGTCTAATAAACACTCTGATTAAAGATAGAAGTTGTCAGAGTAAATATAAAGGCAAAACCCAAGTATGCTTTTGACACACACTTTATTTGTTGATTTTTTTATTTTTTTATTTCAATAGGTTTTTGGGTAACAGGTGGTGTTTGGTTACATGAGTAAGTTCTTTAGCGGTGGTTTCTGAGATTTTGGTGCACCCATCATCTGAGCAGTGTATACTGTACACAATGTGTAGTCTTTTATCCCTCACCACCCCCAACCCTTTCCCCCGAGTCCCCAAAATCCAATGTATCATTCTTATGTTTTTGCATCCTCAGAGCTTAGGTTCCACATATGAATGAGAACATATGATATTTGGTTTTCCATTTCTGAGTTACTTCACTTAGAATAATAGTCTCCAATTCCATCCAGGTTGCTGTGAGTGCCATTATTTTATTCCTTTTCATGGCTGTGTAGTATTCCATGGAGTGTGTGTATATATGTATATATCTCATATTTTTAAAATCCACTCGTTGATTGATGGGCATTTGGGTTGGTTCCATATTTTTGCAATTGCAAATTGTGCTGCTATAAACATGTATGTTCAAGTATCTTTTTTGTATAATGACTTCTTTTCCTCTGGGTAGATACCTAGTAGTGAGATTGCTGGATCAAACAGTAGATCTACTTTTAGTTCTTTAAGGAATCTCCACACTGTTTTGCAGAGTGGTTGTACTAGTTTACATTCCCACGAACAGTGTAAAAGTGTTCCCTTTCACTGCATCCATGCCAATATCTTTTTTTTTTAAAATTTTTTGATTATGGTCATTCTTGCAGAAGTGAGGTGGCATAGCATTGTGGTTTTGATTTGCATTTCCTTGATAATTAGAGATGTTGAGCATTTTTCCATATGCTTGTTGGCCATTTGTATATCTTCTTTTGAGACTTGTCTATTCATGTCCTTAGCCCACTTTTTTGATGGTATTGTTTGTTTGTTTTTCTTACTGATTTGAGTTCTTTGTAGATTCTGGATATTAGTCCTTTGTCAGATGTATAGATTGTGAAGATTTTCTCCCACTCTGTGGGTTGTCTGTTAACTCTGCTGGGTTTTTTTGTTTGTTTGTTTTTTCTGTGCAGAAGCTTTTTAGTTTAATTAAGTCCCATCTATTTGTCTTTGCTTTTGTTGCATTTGCTTTTGGGTTCTTAATAGCATAATACACATTCTTTTGACATGTTCAAGATAGATGATAGACTGGGACATTTAAATCCATCCAAATAATATGGAGTATGTCCTCTGATCATGATGGAATTATATTAGAAATTGATAACAATTAGACATTTAGAAAACCCTATTTGGGGCCGGGTGCGGTGGCTCAAGCCTGTAATCCCAGCACTTTGGGAGGCCGAGACGGGCAGATCACGAGGTCAGGAGATCGAGACCATCCTGGCTAACACGGTGAAACCCCGTCTCTACTAAAAAATACAAAAAACTAGCCGGGCGAGGCAGCGGGCGCCTGTAGTCCCAGCTACTCGGGAGGCTGAGGCAGGAGAATGGCGTGAACCCGGGAGGCGGAGCTTGCAGTGAGCTGAGATCCGGCCACTGCACTCCAGCCTGGGCAACAGAGTGAGACTCCGTCTCAATTAAAAAAAAAAAAAAAAAAAAAACCCTATTTGGAATTTAGGCCATATATGTCCATATAATCCATGGGGCACAGAATAAATCACATGAGGAAAGAGAAAATAGTTTGAGTTGACTGATAATAAAAACCCAACATGCAAAATTGTTAGGACGCAGATGAAGAAACAGCCATAAAAGCAAGTAAGAAATTGGAATAGATTATATATCTGTTAAAGAAACTGAATTCATTATCAAATGCTTTCTCACAAAGAAAACTCCAAGCTCACACTATTTCATTAGTGAATTCTGCCAAATATTTAAGAACTAAGTAATACCAATTTTACACAAACACTTTCAGGAAATAGAGGAAGAGAGACTATTTTCCAGTGTATTTTAGGAGGCCAGCACAACCCTGATTCCACATCTGACGATTCCAAGGAAAGAAAATTACAGAACTATTACTCACAAATAGAGATGCAAAAATCTTTAACAAAATATTTTAAGTTGAATAAAAAATATATAAAATGGATACTAACTCATGACAAAGTAGGGCTTACTTAGGTATGCAAGTTTAACATCTAAAAAATTAACCAGTATAACTCACTGCATTAACAGCACAAGGAGAACAATGACGTGATCATCTTAATAGTTCCAGAAAAAGCATTCAGCAGAAGCCAAAACCCATTTATAAATTTTAAAAAATATCAGCATACTAGGAATGAAAGGGAACTTCCTTACTCTGATAAAGGGCATCTGTGAAAAGCCTACAGATAACATCATATTAAATAGTGAAACATCAAATTATTTCCCCACTTGCATTGGTGGAAGTATGGCCACCCTCACCACTTATATTTAACTTTGCTCTGTACTTAGTCTTATAAGTGAATTTGTCAAGGTCACATGACTCAAAATAAACATACGAAATTGTATTTCACATGAAATTATATTTCTATAATAATGAACAACAAGAAAACGACATTAAAACAGTAATATAATTAATGATATAAAAATTTAGAATTAACCTAATCAAAGATGTGCAAGAAACCTCTACATGGAAAACTACAAACGTGGCTGAGAGTAATAAAGACAAGGAGAGATATACCATATTCATGGATATAATATTCAATATATTTAAGATGTCCATTTCCACAAGTTGATCTATAAATTCTAAACAATTTTAATCAAAGTCCTAGCAGGCTATTTTGCAGGGGAGGGAAGAAGAAATTGACAAGATGATTCTAAAATGTATATGAGTATGCAAAGGATTTAGAACAGCCAAAACAATCTTGAAAAATAACAAGGTGGATGTGTGTACACTACTCAGTTTCAAGACTTACTAAAAAGCTATCATAATCAAGACTGTGGTTTTGGTGAAAGAAGGAATAGATTGACTTGCACAGATCAACAAATCCCACATATATGATCAATTTATTTTCAACAAGTTGCCAAATTTAATCAAGGACAAAAGGAGAGAGTTTTAAAAAGTGGTGCTGGAAAAACTGGGTATTAGTATGAAAAATAATGGACCTTAGTTCCTACATCATACCATACACTTGTGGTTCTCACACTTTAGTGTGCAGCAGAATTCCAAGGAGGGCTCATTAAAATCCCGATTTCTGGGCCCCGCCCACAGAGTTTCTGATTCAGCAAGTCTTGTGTGACTTGTGTGGACAATCTCAATGTCCAGCAACAGGTGGATGAATAAGCAAATGTGGTTTACTCATCCCAAGGAATATAACTATGCAGTTAAAAACAAAGGGCTTAGTGATACACTGAACAACATGTATGGATCTCAAAGACATGATGTTGAGAGAGAGAAGCTGGACACAAAAGCGTCTGTACTGCATGGCTCCATTCATAAGGGACTCTAAAACAGGTGCATCCAGTCCGTGGCGCTGCACATCAGAGCAGAGGCCGCCTGGGTGGGAGCCAGGGGCTTTGGGCAATGGCTGAAGGCACGTGGGGGAACCTGCTGGGCTGACAAAAATGTTCTATGTCTTGATCCTGGTGGCGGCTACCCAGGTTTGTACAATGGTCAAAACTCTTTGACACTGTACACTGACTTACAAAATGTCAATAGAAAAAGAGGAAAAAGATGACCCCAGAAAAGGACAAGACAGAATCTGAAAACAGGAGGATTGAACTGTCCTGAATGTAACAGGGGCTGCAGAATCTGAGCCACGGGGGCTTGAACCAGTACGGGCAGGGTTTCTGCGTGGATGAACGAGGCAGGATTGGAAAAAACCTAGACTGTTCTTTTCTCCAGTGAGTTGAGATTCCTCAGCAAAAGATGGGGAAATTAGGAATGAATGCACGAAGGCACCAGTGCATACGCAATCGCAGAGTTCAGCTGTGTGGATGTGGACCAGGGAGAAACAAGACAGAGGAGGAAAGAGCAAAGCTCTCTAAGGGCCCAGCGTGCAGAAGTCACTGGCCTCAGGCCCGGGCTCCCCTGCCAAGTGGCGGGATGGATATAGAGGCCAGGCCTGATGGAAATCTTCTCTGCATACCCTTGCCCTGCCCCCACCCCCACGGGGAGGCCAGCTCTGGGCTTGATCCGTTACCCAGACAGAAAGAGCTGGTTTGGATATCCTGAGCCTGCCTGACTCCCAGAAGTACCTTAGGCAGGACCTGCGACCCAGCCGTATCCCAGACGGCGGCAGCAGCCCGCCCTGCAGACGTCCTCACCTGGCCCACCTGGTCCTGGAGCTGGGCCTTCTCTCGCCCCAGCAGGGCTGCCTGCCCCTCTAGTTGCTCCTGCTGCTGCTCCAGGTGCCCACAGGCCTGCTGCAGGCCCCTGCACTCTGCCCGCTCTAGCACCAGCTGCTGTTCCGCCTGGGCCAGCTGCTCCCTGGCCCGGACCTGCTCCTGTTCCAGAGTCTTCTGCTGCTCCCGCAGCTGGTCCCGCTCCTGCTCCAGCTGCCACCAGGTGTCAGGGGCTCTGCATCCACTCCCCGCACCCTCAGTCCCTGTAGGCCAGCCACTCCCAAGGCCTGCCCCAGGGGCACTGTCTTCCCTCCCTCAGGCCTGCCCCAGGGGCACCGTCTTCCCTCCCTCAGACCTGGCCAGGGCCAGTCAGGCTCCCTTGTCCCCAAAACCTTGGACCAGGAGAGGAAGTGATCTGGGAGAATGGAAAGAAGACCCAGGGCTTGGAGACCCACAGCCAACTGGGAAACAGGTTCCGGCGAGGCCTGCCCCACTGGCCCTTGTCTCACCTGGAGGGTCAAGTGGTTCAGGTCACTTTTGTCCTGAGCCAGCGCCTCCATCAAGGCGGCCATTGCAGCCAGTGAGTCCCTCTGCTCCACTCCCTCTGACTTCAGCCGCCTCACAAGAAGCTCCAGGTCCGCATTGCTGCACTCGGCCTGGGGCAGGGAGGGGGATGCCAGGGAGGGACCTTTAGCTTCCAGGGCAGGGCTGTTGCCGGTGGGAAAGGAGTGAGCCCGGAGCTGCGGAAGTGTGCAAGCCAGAGCTCCTGGGCGGACATGGTGGGAAGGTCGCCACAGTGGGGAGGTCTCAGGACCAAGGGTGGCTCCAGACACTGAGGCTCCAGCCAGAGGAGGTGGCTGGTGGGCCAAGGAGAAGCCACGAAGAAGCAGACGTGGCCAGCAGGGTTGAGAGCAGCTGGGCCAGCCTGGTGCCTACTGGTTGGGGACGGGAGAGGCCTTTGGTGACTTTGGGAGCTCTGGTGATGGGCTGAGGGTCCCGGCAGGCAGGAGAGAGGGAGTGGGAGGCCAGGTCAGTGAGGCTGGGGGGGGTGGGGGCAGACGGGAGGCGGGGTGGGGTTGGGGGGAGCAGAGGCGTACCCGCGCCAGGGCGCTGCGCAAGCCCTCCCTCTCGCTCTCCACGACATCCCGCTGCAGCTGTGCTGTGCTCAGTGCCTCCCGGGCTGATGCCAGCTCCTCTCTGAGCCCAGAGACCTTCTTCTCCAGCTGCTGCAGGCGGCCTTGACTGAGGCCCCAGACCAGAGGGCGGGAGGTCCCTCAGGGTGAGCAGTGGCTGCCCCATGGGATTTCAGGCAGGCGACCGCCTGCAACTCCCTCCAAGCCCAGGGAGGCCCAGGAGGAGCATGGAGTCCCTGAAGGACCAGGAAGGCAGGGAGCCCTTCACTTCCGGGCTTCGCTTCTGGGTCGGGGAGGCACAGGTGCCTCCAGGGGGACAGGAGGGGTGGGGCTCCACATCTGCTGGGCCCACAGGGTGGTGGATGTGCACCCAGGTGGGGCACTGGGCCAGAGGGAGTGAGGATTGGTCTGGAGGATGGTGCAGCCTGGGGAGGAGCCTGGAGAGCCCCTGCCCCTGCCCTGTCAGGGCCGCCACCACACCCTGGGATGAGACAGGTAAAGAAGCAGACCCGTGGCCCAAGGCCAAGTGGCTGATGGTGGCAGAGCGGGGTCTCTCCTGTGGGAGGGGCCCTGTCCACCCAGCCACCGCGGCGCACCTGGTCTCCAGTGCCCTGCAGCTCCGCTCCCTCTGCAGAGCCAGCTCCTCCCTCCGCTCTGCCTGCAGCAGGAGGCTTCTCTGTAGCTCCGTGGCCTCGGCCTCCAGCCCCTGCTTCTCCGCATCCGCAGCGTCTGCCTTCCCTTTCAGCTCCTCCACCACCATCTCCAGAGCAGCCTTCTCCCTGGGGTTGGAAGGGCCAGAGTGGGGGCGGCCCTGGACACATTCAAGGTGCACCATGTGCCTTGGTGGGCAGTTGGGGCTGGGTGGATGCCAGCCTGTGAGACTGCATGGGCAGAGGGATCCCGAGAAGCACACAGGGTCTCACTGGCGGGTGTGGCCCACCCCGGCTCATGCTCAACTTGTGCTCACAGAACTCTGCTGGCAGGAAAGGACCCCTCCCTGGCTGGCATCCCCTCCAGCTCTAGAGGTGCTTGTCCTGACAGCAGCCCTGGGCCCTCAGGATCCCACACTCCCTGTGCAAGGCCACACAACCCCTTCACCCCGTTACCTCCCCAGGAGCTTGCAGGACGCCCGGCACTGCTGCACCTCAAGCCTCTGGGCCTCCAGCTGGCCCCGAAGGGCCTCTCGTTCCCGTGCCTGCTCCCGAGCCCGCTCCTGCTGGAGCTTCTGTGCAGCCCACAGCTCCTGCTGGCACTCGGACAGCTGCTCCCGGAGCCCGGCTGTCACTGCCTGGGAGGACTCCAGCTGCAGGCACAGCTCCTGCTCGGGTGGGACGCGGTGTGGGTCCCTCTGACCGAGGCAAGCTTTGCCCACTGAGGCCCACTAGGGCTTGAGACTCCCCAAAAGGACCCCCCTACACACTGGAGCCCCTCCCTGGGGCCATGGGGCTCAGGGGCAGGCCCTATAACTATCCTTCAGCCTGAGGAACTCATGTTTCTGCCCTCAGGGAGACGGGGGTCCTGCGGGCTGCGGTTGCCCACCTGTTCCTGCCGCCGCCGCCTCTCGATGGCTGCCCGCACGGCCTGCAGTACAGGGTCCAGGGTGGCCGGGGAGTGGGTATGTGGTGGGGACGCCCCTTGATGGGGGGATGTGGCACGTTGGGGGCTCCTCAATGGGTGCCGTGGCTCCCCCAGTTCAGCGATGCTGCTCCACGACAGCTCCAGGCACTGGGCGTCCTCCTGGGCCACCTTCAAGGTGCAGAGAGGAAGGGAGAGAGAGGCCCAGAGCACAGGGCCATGATTTGATGGGGACCGTGCAGACAGTCCTGAGGGTCCCTGTGGGCCACCTCCATCTTCGCCACTGGGAGGACAGGCAAGGGGCCGCACCTTCCTTATGCGCCTCAAAGTACACTGCAGGGACCCCACCTTGCCCTGCAGGCCGTCCGCCGCCCCCCCGGGCCACCACTGCACCAGGCTTCCTGTGGCAGACAGACCCCTACCACACAGCCACTCCCGTCCCGCCCACCAACCAGGTTCTGCAGGTCGGTTCTGAGGGCAGCGATGGTCCTCGCCTTCTGCTCATTCTGCTCTGTGAGCTTCTCCACCAGCAGCATTTGCTCCGAGAGTCTGGGAGGAGTTGGGGATGGGGGGGAGGGTGAAGGGCAGGGCCCAGAGGATGGGCACCCAAGCATGCCCTGGCTCTGCCCAGACTCCTCTGTGCAGTGGCCCCCCTGCCGGTGCTGGGTAATGCCTCTGTGTGAGTGGCCTCCGTCCCTGGTCTGAGCATGCGTCTCTCCTGCCACAGAGCCTCTAGTGGCTCCCACGGTCTCAGAAGTCAAGGCCCACACCCTGACCAGCGCTCCAGCCTCAGATGCAGTGACTGCCCGAGGCTCTGCCCCGTCCTTATGGCACAACAGAGGGAGTGCCCACTGCAGGCCTTTGTCCGGCCAGTCCTTCTGCCTGGAGCACCTGTCACCATCAGTCTGACAATAAGTGATTTTACTGTTCCTTCCTTCCCAGGACCCACCTTCTTACTAAAGACCCCAGGTCCGCCTTCCTGTGGCTCAGGCCCTGGTGTGCGGCCCCTGCAGCCCTTGGGCCCCCATGTCCTGTCCTGCTCGTCTGGGGCTAGGTTGTGGTGTGTTTGACTCAGCTAGACCCCCTGAGGGTAGGGAGGGCCTCTGCCTGTCAGCCTGGCAGGGTGTTTGTGGCCAAGTGGGCCCCAGACCCCCGGTTGTGAGGCGTCGGCCCCACAGCCAGCAGGTTAGACCTCCACTGGGGAGCCACCTCCCCACTTCCTGCTGAAGCTGCCCTCAAGAGACCTCTGAGCCCCCGATGTGGGTGGTGGGTCCAAAACCTTCCACAGTCACGGGGAGATCGCAGACCCCAGAGAGGGTGTGGGTGTCCTTCACGTGGGGCAGGAGGAGGCCTGGTCCCTCTTCCTGCCTCCGTTTTTAAACAATTTACCTAAGGTGAGCTCTTCCCCTGGAACAACGTGCCCTGCTTTAAGTCCTGAAAACTCCAATTCCGGGTGCTGACCCCCAGGACACAAACCCAGTGAGTTCCCTGCTGTGCTCCCCGAAACCCCCACTGTAGGAGACCCCAGTGCCTGCCTCCTGGGCATTAGGGGAGTGCCCTGCAGCCACTGGGATGGTGATTCTGAAGAGTGTGCACCACCAGTGACGCCAGGGCCCCACCTCCCCTGGTACGGTGTGACCACATCTGGGATCCACAGCTGCTGGGCAGGCTGGATGGGCCCCACCCTTCCGGGCCCTCCCTGTGCCAGCCTGCTGACCCTGGGCACCCACCTGGCCTGGAGCGCCACCTTCTCTGTGTCCCAGCGGACCTGCAGCTGCAGCATCTCCCCAACCTTGTCCCGAAGCTGCTGCCCCAGGGTGCTGGCCGTGCTGCTGGCCGACAGTCGCAGGTTGGAGTCGAGGTTCAGGCAGGCAGTGTGCAGGCGGCGGGCTGTCTTGGCCGTGTCTGCCTGCAGGTCAGCGAGGCCCCTGGGAGACAAGGGCAGCACCTGTGGCTGACTCAGGACCCATCTGCAGAGGGAGGGCCTGGTCCCATCAGTCCCACAGAGGACCCCCTCCTTGGCCATCCTCAGGAGAAGCCCCCGCTGCATGGCATTGACGGTTCCCATGTGTCACCAAATGCCAGGAAGCAGCTGGGGAGGAGTGAGCAGGGGCGGGGCCAGACTGCAGCAGCCTTCACTGAGTCATCGACCCTCTGAGCCCCTGACTCTTCCTGTGCAAGGAGCTGCTACCTACATAAGGGCTAGTGGGGTGGTATCAGGACTGACCTCCAGTGTGGCACCCAGCAAGGCTGGACAGACCACGGAAGCTCCATCTGGATAGGTGTCCCCCACCCCACAATGTCCTGTCCACCCTCCTCTCATCTCTCCTTGGTGTCCCCCACCCACCTCCCTGGCCTGTTTGTCCCTCTCCCTGACTGCCCTCCTCGGCCACCCTCATCACTGCTCCCACTGTCCAGCCTGAGGCCCAGCCAGGGCTGGTTGAGGAGCCGGCAGGCCAGGGCTATTGCACCCACAGAAGGGCCCGCCCCAGGCACCACTTCCCCTCCCCCGGAGGGGGCCTCAGCTCCCTGCAGCCTGGTGCCTGGCTCCAGGTGGGGCAGCCGGCACTCACCTCTCAGTGGCTGCTCGCAGCTCCGCCAGGTCTGTCCCCAGCACCACGGCCTGTCTCCACAGGAGAAGGAGGTCCCGGGGCTTCCCCAGGCCCCCTGGCCGGGTCTGAAAGCAAGAGGCCTCCTGTCCACTCCAGGCTGGGGCGTCTTTACCCTCCCTGAAGCCCATTCTTTTCCAGGTGCCATGTCCCTCTCCATGGGGGCTGGAAGTGGACCCAGCATCCCAAAGTCCCCATATCTCACAGGCGAACGAGCCATGGGCTCCCCCAACCCCACCCTGGGGCCATACTCTGCCTCTCCCTAGGAGATGACCTGGGGATATGACCACATTCAGCCCTTTCAGGCCAGCCTGCGTGCATGGAGGTGGAAGGGTGGGGTTTGTCGGTCCCTGAAGAGAGAAGGTGCTGACTCAGTCTCAGCTCCCCAGCTACTCTCGGGAACTGCTCAGGCTCAGAACACTCCAGAACCAGGCCCGGTCCCCTCCTGGGGCATGGGGCAGACAATTCGGCGGCACGTGGCTCCTACCCTCCCACTCTGAGGGAAGAGGACAGGCCTCCTTTCTCCAGTACAGTCTTTCTCCTTACTCTGGAGGCTCCTGAAGATGTCCAGGTGTTGGTCTGGCACTTCAAAGGTGCCAGGGACACAGAAGCAAATTAGAAGCCTCAGGACTGGGGCCACGGTTCAGCAGGGAGGAGGGTGGGGAAGCCACTGACGTTAGAAGCTTCTAGCACTGGGGTTCAGCAGGGAGGAGGGTGGGGAAGCCACTGACGTTAGAAGCTTCTAGCACTGGGGTTCAGCAGGGAGGAGGGTGGGGAAGCCACTGACGTTAGAAGCTTCTAGCACTGGGGTTCAGCAGGGAGGAGGGTGGGGAAGCCACTGACGTTAGAAGCCTCTAGCACTGGGGCCCAAGGTTCAGCAGGGAGGAGGGTGGGAAGTCACTGCTGAGACAAGGCCAGTGATTAGGCTGCAACGGAGCCGAGTGGGAGGACTCTGTGTTGAGGGCAGGAATGGGGGAACCGTGTGTGTTCAGTGCTTCCAGCCTTGCAAGGAGCTAAGATGAAAGCCAGGAGTCTCAGAGTCTCCACACCACCTTCTAGGCCCTGCACTCGCCTTCTCCTGCTCGCCAACCTCTGGAACTCAGGGGGCTACTGTGTTCCTACCACCTCTCCCTGCCTGTGACAACCCCACCCCTGCTCCTCCAGGTTGCCTTCAGGTAGAGCACTCACATCCTGCCTGTTCTCCAGAACTCGCACAGAGGACTATGACCAGAAACCAGTGGAAACAATAGAACGAGACCTTGAAGAACTTCAGGTATTAGATCATCATCTCATCTTCATGAAGCTTGCCTGAACCCCTCACCTGATCCCGCACCTGAGGTTCCCCCCAGCTAAGCCCATAACACCTGGCCATACACCCTCCAGAGAACACGTCCCTCTGTGCCCATTCCACCTGGCTATACACCCTCCAGAGGGCGTGCCCCTCTGTGCCCATTATACCTGGCCATACACTCTCCGGAGGGTGCGCCCCTCTGTGCCCATTACACTTGACCATGCACCCTCTAAAGGGCATGACTCTCTGAACGCACACCTGGCCATACACCCTCTGGAGGGGACACCCCTCTTTAGTTAGAAAATAAAAAATCACCAAAGGCACAAGGAAACAAAGGACCATGATCAGAAACCAGCAGAAACAACAGAATCAGACCTTAAAGAATTTCAGATATTAGATAGTCAGACACAGGCTACAAAAAGACTATTCTTAACATGCTCCAATAAATAAATAAGAGGCTTGAAAATGTGAGTTAAGAAGCCAGGCGAGGTGGCTCTCGCCTGTAATCCCAGCATTTTGGGAGGCTGAGGCGGGCGGATCACCTGAGGTCAGGAGTTTGAGACCAGCCTGGTCAACACAGTGAAACCCCATCTCTACTGAAAATACAAAAATTATCTAGGTGCGGTGGCACACACCTGTAATCCCAACTACTCTGGAGGCTGAGGCGGGAGAATCGTTTGAACCCGGGAGGCGGAGGTTGCAGTGAGCTGAGATCTTGCCACTGCACTCCAGCCTGGGTGACAGAGCAAGACTCTGTCTCAAAGAGGAAAGAAAGAAAATGTGAGTTAAGAGTAAGCTATTTAATATATAGGAAAGAATGAAACAGAACTCTTAGTGATGAAAAATACCATATTTGCAATTTAAGCTAAGTAGCCAAATTTAACAGAGATTAGACATCAGAAGAGAAAACTGATAGACAGAAATGGAAATTTGAAGAAATTATCTGGAATATAGTCCAGGGTAATAAAAGGAACAAAACCGTGAACGGTGCCTGGGAGACAGACAGAATGGCTAACACACGTCTAGCCGGAGCTCAGAGGAGGGGAGGTGGGTGGTGAGCATCGGCAATGTTTAAGAATATTGACTTTCCAAAAACAACAAGCGACGCAGAGGCTCCACGAGCCCTGAAGCGGGATAAACAAATAAATCTACACGCAGACACAACACAGGGACATGGCACAACCACCAAGTCAGAGCAGGGATCTTAAGAGCAGCCAGGTGAGAGGACACGTTACCTTGATAGGGAGCCAGTCAGAATCCAGGCAGCCTGGAAGCTGACTTCTCAACGGCAGCAGCGGAAGGAGAAGGAGAAAGCAGATCTTTAACGTGCCGAGAGAAAGCAACTGTCAACCAACCTTGAGTTTCCCTCAAGGACAAAGGGAAAATAAAGACCTGGGTGATCAAATGCCAAATTGAACTCAGGGACCCTCTCCTTCCGGCATTTGTTCTCACACAGCGGAATCAGCTCCTGTGTTCATCAGATGACCTGCCCCGAGGTCTGAGGACCAGGACGGGGACCAGGCAGTGGGGGGAACAGGAGATCTGCTCAAATGCCTCGAGCCAGCAGGCCTAGCGTAGGCGATGACTCCTTGCTGATAGCACGGTCCCGCTGGCGCTCTGCAGAGGCCGGCATTCCCTCTCAGGGGGTAAACCTCGGCTGGTGTGTCTGACATCTGCCTTTTAGGAGAAGCAACTGTGGCGGGGCTCGGGGCTGGGACCTGGCCCCCGTGGGGGTGAGTGCGGCCCTTCCCGGACAGGCTTGTCTGAGGGACGTCTGTAGAGGCAGCCTGAGGCCAGAACTGCGGCTGCCCCTCCGGCTCCTGCCTCCACCTGGAACAGCACATCTTCCGGGGGGCCCCTCTTCCTGGGGAAATCCTTGCCCATGGTGCCCGTAGCGTGCAGGGGCTGGGCGTCCAGGCCCCCTTTGCTGGAGGGCTGTTGGGAACACCTTCAGGCCCTCAGGGACTGCCTGACTGGAGAGCCACGTTACCCAAGGCTACAGCAGCTTCAGGGGGTCCCACGACCATGGAGAGATCTGAGCAAGGCATGAACACCTGGACGTCTCCCTCCCACAGGGGCTGGTGCCTGCAACCCTGTGCCCTGACCCCCTGCATGCCTCGGGGTTTCAGAAGTTGGAGTGAGTAAGGCTGCAGGGGGACCTGGGGGGCCACGGCCAGGCGCCACAAGCAGCGGGCCAGCCCCAGGCTCCTTCCAGGGTTCCCCCCTCCTGAAGTCTGGCCTGGAGTTCACTCTATGGAGAAAACCTGCCTCTCCAAACAGGGTGGTCCACACCAGAGCCGGGATGTGGCCCCAGTGCCCCATTCTCAGAGCCCTGCCCTCCTTCTCTGGGTGGGGGGCAGTGGGGGTGGACCAGGGAGTCCCTCACTCCACAGACTGCTGTGGTCAAGCCAGGTTGGGGACATGGTGTGGCAAGAAACTGTGGCCTTGTCCCCAAGAGGGATAGCTGCTGAGCCAGCACACCCTCACCAGGTCCCTGCCTGCTACCCAGGCATAGGCACCCAGACAGGCGGCTGC